ACCTCTTAATCTGCGATGGGACAGAGTAAAGACGTCTTGCTTTTCATGCCATCCTTTGTATGGTAAACCCCAGAGTTCTGGGGATGCACGGGCAGATGCCCTCTTTACTTTCCCCAGGATATCTTAGCCACCATTCGAACAGGGGATTGCAGCCTGAACACAGTCCTCAAGTTTAGTTCTCGCTAAGGTTGCGTATACTGAAGTGAACATAGTAGTATCTAACTTAGTGAATGTCCGTCTTAAGGCCCATATAGTCATAAAACACTAACTTGCAATCTCACGGTAGTGGGTCGTGGTCCTAAGATTATGACTCAATGTCATCCCATGAGCCCTATGAGTTCGGACTGCTGGTACAGGCACTGCCCCTACTATGTACCTATTTACCTTTGTATCTCCGAAGTGCATGTAGACACACTTGACCGCATTGGTAAGCATCAGCCAATTTTTAAACCAGCTAATCAGAATATCTAAGTCCATCTAAAGTGCGCCTGTATCTGGGTCTCCTGCCATTTTCCTCCAGATTTTCACATCAGCGTATAGTAGCATTGGAGACTCGGCTATACTTGAGGGTTCTGTTACATGCAGTGTAAAAAGTAAAGGACCTAGGATAGAGCCTTGCGGTATCCTACTGAATACTGGTTTCCAGCAAGAGCGCTTGAAATTTATTATTGCTTTCTACCAGAAAGTCCTTAAGCCATCTTAGGAGGGGTCCAGCAATGCCTAGATTTTCTAGCTTCAAGGGTAGTCTACTTTTTGACACTTTATCAAATGCGTTGCTGTAATCTCTGCGGACAACAATCACTGATTATCCAGAGCGTCTATCCGTTTCTCTCATGTTGTAAAAAGATTTATTGTGCAAGATAAATTTTTCGTGAAACCATATTGTTCAGTGTTAATTAAGTTTTTAGTTTCCACGAATGCCATTATGGTTTTTCGATCATTCTTCCCAGTACTTTAACTACGATGCTAGTGAAACTGACAGGTCTGTAGTTTGATGGGAGTTGGCTTGATCCTGTCATATGTATTGGAGTGTTAATTGCATTCTTCCAGCCTATAGGCAACTTACATTGGCCAAGGGACACTGAATATCGTAGTCAATGGAGCAGCAATATACTGTACAAGTTGCCTCAAGATTTTCGGATTTAGTTCATCCCGTCTTGTTGACTTTTCCGTGTCTAAGGTGCTAAGAGCCTTAAAGACATCGTCTCGATCGAATTCCACAGTAAGCAAACAATTTTTTGACTTTATCTGGGTCTATATTTTCATCTAGAAGAGGCTTCTAAGTGAAAATTGTCCCGAAATAGTTTTCCATATCCCCTGCTATTTCCTGATCATCCTCTGTCATTTGAGATCCACATTCTTCCGTAATTAAGTTAGGAATTCAGTGCTGCGTTCTTTTCCTGTAATTTATGTGCGAGAATAGTCTCTTAGGTTGCTTGACTACAGGTTGGGCTAACTGCTTTTCATGTTTCCTATGAGCTTCCCGGATTGTAATTATACACTTGGCGCTTACCGACCTGTAGCGTTCCATCGTATTTGTTGTGCCAGAGCTAATGGCAATGGCCCCCAAATGCCCTGGTACGGCCGAAAATGGGGGGGACTCCGCTCTCCCTCTCGAAATGCTCTCACATGGCCGCGCGTATATAGCCTTTGCCAGGGAAGTCGTAATCACTGACTTCTCGTGGCGGCGTGTTGTTTACAAAATTGAGAGGATGAAAAGCGAATGTCAGGCGCTTTAACAGGGTTAGTTGACACGGAAAGTCACTCTAGGGGAGTTGGAAAACCCTGATTCCAAACCAATGGTGCACATGGGCCCCAGTATCCTGAGGGAACAAATGGCGCATGAACCAATCGTTGGTCACCGGCTACCATGGAACTGCATTATCTTACGATGCTTCACCGCCTTGTGGATCAGATCTTTAGGTCAAAGGTTCTGGGTGTGGCCCCCTTAAAAAAGCCAGTTGCTTCGGTTCGGGCACCCGGACATTATCACAACCTTCACACAAATCAAATGAGATTTGTGTGGTGCATATATATCTGGTGCCCCTTTGTACCAATGTGTTTAAATAAATGGCAGTGTTCCAAAATTTCTTCTTTTGCCTTAGTAAACATCTATTATCCCGGTCTATCCAGGGATGGCCGTGCCTCTTCTTCTTTGTGACAGTTCAGGGTATAAATGGTTGAATTACTCGATTTTATAACTGCCGAAAATGAGTCCATGCCTCTTTTACCGATGCCATTGAGTCATTTATCCAGTCTTCAACCGAGGCTACGGAGATGATCGCCTTCATTTCTGCCTTTTATATGTTAGGACGGACCGACACAACTGTTTGACAGGCCATGAATTTGAGTAAGATTACCACACCATCATTTCTCCCTAAAGGTGGGGGAAAGTTATTTGACTGACGTCACCCCCGTATGTGAAGACTAAGCCCAAGAGAGATGAGTTGTGTAGGTCATATCTAGGGGGATCTCTAATGTACTGGAATAAAGGTGAGGCGATTACGGTTTCTAACAATTTGCAATCGAATGATGTTGTTGATGTCACGGCTTCTAAATTTCTCCAATTTATGAACGGTGCGTTAAAGTTGCCTATTATAAGGCTTTTACCCTTATTAGACTAGGATTTAATTTTTCTTAGAAGGAAGTCACCCACTACACATTCCGTACTGCGGTATACTACAACTAATTCTACATCTTGCCATTTACATTTCAGCCTGCAGCGCACCAGTTCACATGTCCCTGAGTCGTATGCCACTGTCTCAACAGCTCGTATGGTTAAGGTACTTTTCGTGTATAGGATAATTCCATCACCCCTACGGTTTAGTCTATCAATCCTACTAGGTAAGAAACCAAGCAATTGAATTTCACTATCATACACTCCTGACGTTAACCATGTTCCTAGGATGTTAATGACATCAGGGTTTTCTGTGTCCACCACTGTTTCAAGCTCTGCCATTTTATTAAGCAGTCTGCGAGCATTTGTATAGCATACCTTTATTTCTGCGAATAGTTTTCCCTTACCACTCGGAGTGGTTTGAGGATCGTTTTACTCTGAACTTCTACAGTGTGAAAACCCTTAGTATAAGGTTTTTTCACCGTTCCGGCGGCGCTCATTTGTTTCTATCTCTACTGATCGTCTCTTAATACGACCAACCAGTCAGAGATCCTCACAGACATATATTCCGGACCCAGTCAGTTTGCCTGAGTTTTCCAGTATTACATTTTTTTCTTCAGCAGAAGCTGAAGTAGCTTTTAAGAGGCCGATTTTGTGCTCACTTTCAGAGTCCACTTTTTTCCCTATTGTACAAACCTTATAGATGCTAACTTCTGCTACTGTTTCTGGAAGCAGCTTGCTTATTAAGGGCTTAAGTCGTGTAGCTTAAGTCGTGTTCAAATCCAACCTTTGGTTCCTTTTCGGAGGATTCTCTTAACTTGTGAAAAATGACTGACTTGTCGGGAATGTCCGTCTTAACAAGCTGTGACGTTTCGTTCCCTAAAATATCCCAATCCCTGCAGTTCAATTTGGAGTGAGACGCGAAGGTCTAACTCTGTTTCCTTACTTTTCTTTCTTTGGGTATGACTGTAAGTCGTCCATTGACCGTATTATGTCTCTTGGTCACATCATCTACACCGCTCAGGCTTTACTCCTCACTAGTCTATTTCGCGTTGATATGTGGATGCGGAGCTGAAACCATCGACTCACATATCTAAGAGCTCCCTATAATTTGTTTCTTCTCAGCGTGCTTTTTCTTCTTTCCGGTAACCATGCCTACATCTGTTAGTTTGTCATCCGCTACGTAATTTGGGCCAACCTTGATGGTTTCATTCAAGTCCAAAGCTTGACTTACGATAACTTTCGCCACTGAAAATTGTTCATTTGCTGCTGTCTGTTTATCTGAAGGCATCCTTTTAGCTATGTTCAGCAGCTCAGTCACCTCAAAAATCAGCAGAGACTTTGTAGAGCAGCATGCTTTGCGCAGTCAATGTAATAGTGGTTTGCAGCACCTTTTACATGCAGTTGGTATCGTCCGATGCATACGTTGTAATACCACTTGTTGCAGTTGTCACATTGCATTACATCCTCAACCAGGAGAAGATATGTGTGTCTACCACAACAATGTTTTACTTGCTCCATAAAATTGTTTGGCGATCTCGCCGAGAGAACAACAAGAACCTGATCTCTAGAATAAGTCTTTTTAAAGCTGTAAAGGTGACAGGCACTGGACACAAAAGGCAGAGGTTTATGTTTTACTGTAACTAGAAACAAAAACCTGACTTAAATAAGTGCTAAAAGAGCCTTTACACCTTTGAATACAAACAATACTGAAAGGTTTACTCATTGAAGAGAAATATCACTGCCCTATTTGTTTCTGCACTCAGAAAGTACAGAAGATAAATTACTTTAGAACAAAAAGTGATACCCTTACCAATTACTTTAATTGAATTAAATTCAATTAAATCAAAAACAGTAGTATTGATGCGTAATAAACGATCAATACTGTAGAACTAACTCAGAGAGGAATATTTGCAAACAGATTTTACGCTAGGAGCTCAACAATATGAGGTTAAAAAGGCTACATAACCTATATATTTCAGTTGTTATCAATAGGTACTAATTTGTATATTCAGCTTCAGGCCAAAATTTTATCCATGTAAACTATCCAAACTAAATTGGAGTTCATACCTGTACTGGAGTATATAAATGTTGAGTGCTTTGACTGATTAGTTATCTCTATAAGTACTTATCGAAACCCTTTTGTTTGCATTTATAAGTTGCCCATAGTTTTCGGCAAATTATCTTATCAACATTTCCCTTTTAAATCTGACCACAAATTGTTTCATTGTTCACTTTTAAACTTGAAACAAAGTTAACATTTATTTGCTTAAATTATTGCGTTAACTTTCTGTTAATTTCTTTACTATTCAAATGTTCGTTTGTAGACCAATAAATTGGCTAATTTTAAAATCGTGACTGTAAACAAACGAATATCGTAATCATGTCGACCAAAAGTGATAAAGCTGTTGAAAGACAAATGCAAATGTTTGAAATCGAAATGATGCAACAAGTATTTACCAGTATGACAAGTAGCTGTCTAGCTAAATGTATTCCATCTAATTATAATGATGGTGATCTAACTAAAGGTGAAGCAGTTTGTTTGGATAGATGCGCCTCTAAATTTATGCAAGCGTACATGCAAACTACTAAAAAGTTGTCTACAATGGCATCGTCAGACTCGAAAGTGATAACTGGTAACTAGACTTTTTCAGGATATATTCTGGAAAAAGTTTGTTTTCTAAACTGGGAATTTAGATGTAAAGAAAAGATCTCCCTGTTTTCTGTATTATATCGCAATCGTAAATTAGTTGAATTTTTAAAATACAACTATGTCAAAACGAGTTTACATTCTGTTGTAAATTATTTCTCATGAAGAGCTAAAGAACTGATTGTTTTGATGAAGTGTTACTAGGCAATTAGGTAGGGTCTGATTTTGCGATGAATAACATCCCTCTTAAGTCGATAGTTCAATGTTTTATTCTGAGGTAACAAAACTGCGAAGTACTCTGATTATCCTGCCTTATGACTCACTAGCGTGAGCTAAAACCCCTCAGATCTCGTGTTCAGATTTTAAAAATTGATTCTGAATTTACTTCTGGACGTTTGCAACCTTCCCTTTGTCACCTGATTCTAGCATTCATTTCATTATTTAGCTATTAAGTTCCACTGAATGCTTTGCTAAGTGTAGTAACAGGTATGATATCATCTGCAATGATATAAGTTTGCTGGGACTGGAAATATTAGTCCGAAAGAATTCGTGAATGTAAATAAAGGCCTGTGTTTCAGTAACAGTTTTCATAGGAAACAAAAAGTTTACACTTTAGCTCCTTGACCAAATATCTGAAATGATGAACTTATAGCTGCAAATAATATCTCACCCTCTTAACGTGTTTCTGTACTAATCAATAAAATGGGGGAAGCTATGTTGAACTTTGTTTTATCATTGTAGGCATGAAGTAATGGGTGGGTAGTTTCTGTTTTTTTCCCACCATACTTAATGTTGCTCGATAATAAAGCACAAATTTATGAACATAGTTCCATCTGATAACTGAAGAGACCTCGAATGTTTTCCTGGTCTTTTCTCAAAAGTAGTGTACTGTGGTCTACTTATATCCATACAAGTAGTATATGGCGATGTTCAGACATAGAATGTATTTTGGCAGAAGACCGATAAGGAAAAATTGAAATGAAGCGCAATTGGTAGGAAAATGCATGAACAATGAAATTAAAGAAGATGAACTGATATTTACAGAAGGAACAGTGAAGATTGAGACAATTGATGGTTATTTTGTAAATTAACTTTTCAGTGTATGGTTATCAGAATTTAGTGATATAGTCTGTGATTTTGTGCTTAAATACATCCGGTTGTCCCCAACCGGTGTTCTGTTCACTACAGTAATATAGCTTTAAAAATATGTGCTAGGTAGTTTGAGGGTTGTATATCCTTGAAGATCCGAAGTGAATGCTGAGGCTATATCTAAATAATCCTGCGTTCAATTGGGACTAGCTCCAAAATGAGTCGTGTATAGCTTTAATGACTTGTAATATGTAAAGTCACATACATGAGGTGGTTATGTACTGATGTCGTCAAGTGACCATCTCGAAATCTCTCGTCTTACACTAACCAAAATTAGGAATTTGGACCATAAAATTCTGACTCAAAAATGTTCTTATCGTAGTTCCTAAAAGTCCTAAGTTTAGTCGTTCGTGAGGTTGTGGGTGGGCAGTATTGAGGAATTCCAGACTAAAACTTGACAGCTATCTTTAGTTTTCAATAGGTTTTATGCTGATTTGGGTCCATAATGCAACTCATCATATCAACTTATAATTCTGCATAATAATTTTGTTGAAGCTAGAAAGCACCATTTCTTAAAGAAAATGGAAGTGATAATCATACCATCTGTCGAGGTTTTTTATAAGTGATAAGGCAATAACTCAATACATTGATAAGTATTTATCTTTTTAAAAGCTCACTCAACCAAAAAGCCTACAAAAGATTTCAGCAAATGTTTTCAGTAACTTCTCATCAGGCTTTACTATTACAATTAGATGAATCTATCTGTTCGGGATATCTGAATTGGTGTGTTTAGTAAAATCATAGAACATGTATATGAATTGGAGAGCTGGAAATGATCATAATAAATGTAGCAAAATTGTAAGTGTATATGCTTTGTTGGAAATTTGTGCGTTAGTATCATAGACAAATAGCTAGTTGGTTTCACTCTAGACATGTTTCAACTTCATTAATCGTGACTTCACACCAGAACTTCATGAGTGCGTTTCGGAGTAAGTCACTTGTGAGTTTATTATAGTTTACATGAATGGGTTTTGTGGGAATTATTGTGATGTGGGGTCGAGCCATGATGGAGTCGTAGGTGTCTACTCCGGAAGAGTCCCATACTAAGACGTAACGTTTGTCTACTCGCTATCTAGTCTTCAGTGACATCCCAACTGAAATCATTTCCTGATGAATATCACTTACAGAATAGAAATGGAAGACTCTCAGTCATAATAGCATGTATGTTGCTTGTTAGTTGACGTCTGGTCAATCACAAGAGAATAAAGGTCACACTAAGTAACCAATGGTAATTTACTGCAATGTATTGTGGATTATTGAATATAACTAATCATCTTGATGTTTGGTCCTCACCAAAACACCGGTCCAAATAAATCTAGATATTTCACTTACATTTACAGTTAAATTCATTATAAGGCGCTTGAAAGTCAGCCAGTTATTTAGGTGAAAGTTGCACAACAAATCGTTTTCAAGCAAGACGTTTCAGAAAGATACTTGGTAAGGTTGTGCAGCTTTATCGAGTGTGCTTGTCAGTATATGTTTTTTTATAATTCGTAACCCTTAATGCAGCATTAAGCTTAGAAAGGTCAGTAATGATACGACAAATCAAACTATTGAGTCCTAAATACAAATTGACTGAAAATCAGTCATTCGGACGAATGTATCCAATCCTTACTATGCTTTCAATCTTAAGTATTTTGTAGCGTTGATTACGTTTTAGTGCAGTATTCTTGAATTTGATTTAGTCGATTCTTAACTATCATTATTTCTATGGTTGTGCCGAGTCGTAAGGTTTTGAGCACTACCATACTTATGTACATAATTTTGTCTACCTAGAATACGGCGGTTGTAGTGTTTGTTTCTTCCTCGAATTTCCAATTTATTTGTATGATGGTTGGAGACTCTGGATGACATGGCTCAGAATCAATCACAATGGTGTGGGTGTTTACACTTTTTCCATTAAACAATGAGATTAAAATTACTGTAAACCTTTCTTTCTACGAACTGATTCTTTCTCACTGGATCATATCCTTATATGCATCCTTTTTTATATTAGTACTACCATTGAAGTAACTGCTTCTATGAATTTGGTGTTCATCTTGTTTTGCTAATGAGGTATGACAACTCGGACCGATGTATATACGTTTGGTCCTACGTTGTAAATGACTGACTGTATGACGTCTATTTCCCAAGAAACACTTATTCGTTCAACTAATATTAGGTAATGTCAATGCACTAGGTGCTGTTGTTAATTATGATTTGTACGCCCAGCGCTCAGTCTATCATGATCAACATAGGGTCTGGCACAAGTTTGTGGCTTAAGCTTCTATACTACCTTAGAACAACTAGAAGTTTGGAAGATCAGTGGTAGAATAGTTAAAATAATGTAGTAGCGATGCTTATGAGATAGATTGGGTATTGAAAATATGCTTTGAAAAGACAAGAAAAAGATACGTAAGCAGAAATACTGTTACCCAAGACCAAGAGAGAGAATACACTTGAACCATTAAAATCGATTCTGACTAATGCCATGCAACATTCATAACAGCTGTTTATGGTTGTCTTCTGGACCCTAGCCATGTGTCTTGGGCTAACAAATAAAATGATCTTTTGAGGTTCGGTGAAATTACAGTGGATCACTGTGCTAATTAAGCCAAATATCCTTTATTCCAAGTAGGCGACCCTCAAGAGAAATTTAGCCGAGAGATAAAGTTTTATGTTAATTTCTGAAATCAAAAGATGTAAATTATCTAGTTCTTCAGCAAATGTCAGAATGAACGTTCTGAATTTAAAAACCTTTAGTCGCGATGTTTTTAGGTGTTGGCTACATTTCAAAGTCACAAGCAACATGAAAAGTGAGTTGATTTTGAAAATAGTTGGATACAGGCGAAAAGTGCTTAACAGGAACGTTTATAAGAATGGATGGAGGAATAAGATGATAAGTAAAGGTGATAAAGGTACTTTATTGAGGTAGAAGGATAAATGTACATGATAAAATCTGTGGAATATAACTCGTTACAACAGAATAACTTGAACTATCTATTTTTAACGAGTAGCATGATTTTAAGCGGAAAATAAATAGTCCAGAAGCGAATCTTCAAAAAATAATTTTCAAACAGATAACTTCGCTTCTTTTGATCACTAAAGCAGAAATAGATTTTCTCGAAGTTGATCAGACTTTATATTACATTGATCTTTTTACTCAAACTTCAGCCGGTGATATCGAATCACTAATTCTACCACAGGATAATCTTAGTATTTGTCTAACCAGTTATTGAGTCCGACATACCATTTAAACTAGGACCGTACGTTTGTGACAGCTAAATAGGATTCTCTGGTGTCTGTGTTGGAATTTTTCAAGGTTATTGTGGAATTTGTTGACTTGACCTTACCCCAAAGACAGATTAGTCTAGAATATCTTCCAAAAACGTGAACGCTCGCACACTGCTGGCCCACCGTTCGTCTGACTGCTAAGTAAGGAAAAAAAAAACAAAGATTGTGTTGAATGGCGCAAGAAAATTTCAGATCAAAAACCTGAAAGGAACACAAGGGATTTTAACTCTCTCGAAAGAAATAATAATACACATTTATCAAGAGTTGTGTTGAATGTTCAAATCTGAATATAGTGAAATTAACACAAGGTTAGCAGAAATTCCATGACTGAGAAACATTTCAATAGATGGATACCAGTGATAACACACACGGGGTTCCTAACGTTAAACTATATATTTGACTAAGGAAATCAATATTGAAATGGACGAAGAGTAAATTTCGAATTCCCAATAAGATTATATGATTGTGCAACGTGAGTAAAGCAGCATTTCATTGGAATGAACTAAAATGTCAAAGGAGTCAATGCATTTGCGTGAAACTGAATAGACAATTAAATAAGAAGAATGTATTTGTAAAATCTCAGAGAATGAATTTAAAATAAATCCAACGTTTCGCCTGGCAAACTATGGATAATTTTGATTATATTTCCTTGGAAAAGATTGGACCAGGTTGCCAGGTGAAATGTTGGATTTACTTCAAATTTATTCATTGAGATTTTACAAATGCATTCCTCCTATTTTGTCTCACATCAACTCGGCGCCCTAATACTGTGGAACTATTAGATCTAATTTAGAAGAAAGTTCTTTTATGAATAAACAATTGAAGGAATAGTAATCTGAAGTAGGAGTACAACTGTTTAAATATGGAAAGTAAATTCGGGATAATCTCAAACAAAAGTTTAAATAATTCCGCCTGGTCATCTGATCTGTGCTTTTTCAAGGAAGTAATGAAGTGAAAAGCTAGATAATTCATGACTGATTTAGCTCTACAGGTTTATCAGTCTAAGATATCTTTGAACCAGTGTGCCTGAAATATGTCTTATAGTTTACTTACCGTTGCAATCATGACACTCCAGCAACCGCTTTTTGTCTCCTATATTATCATCTCTTTTACCTACTTTATTCTTTCAAACTCGTCTTCTAACGCGTTATCAATTAAGTAAATTATTTATTCTTGAGACAATTGCCTTCTCTTAGTACACGCATTATTAAATTCTAATTTTCACATTGCAACCAGCCGGATTCCTGTCTACTGATATGGTAGCTGCTGGTGATCAGAAACTTTACTGCTCAGAGACACACATACACCCTCAAATTACCAAATATACAGATCCATACCAACAGTTTAGCCAAAATTTTTCAGAACTTCAATCATCAACATTGTGTTTGAGAGCTCTTTTAGATATACTACCAATGGCTTTGGAGCAGCGTGAACATGGATTTTGTGAAACTGTTAGCCTACCACATATTCACGTCATTAAAAGTCAGACCTCAGAACATCTTTTTGCATGCATGTTCATCAAACACACGTTCGTATTGGGCCAAACTACTTGGACTCTTTCCTATAGAATGGCAAACGACATTACTAGACCATATGTTCACGAATTGGGATTATGTGTCCGTTTATCTCTCACTCACAGTTGATTGGCCATTGTATCAATTAGACAATCGATTGTTTGTAAGACCAATCAGAATTATACTGACACCGATCTTGATTCATAGGACACATACTGTGTGTTTTAACAGGCCGGACGAACTTAGGATTCTTTGAATGTCATCAAGTGTGGATATCTAGGTATCGTATTTATTAGTTGCCGCATTTACTAAGGTAGTAATTATCATTTGTTTTTATTTTTGGATATGTATGTTCTTAGTGAAATCAAGTGTAGGTTCTTAAAGTGAAAATTATATACTCAATGGACTTTATTCTCTAGTTTAAAAGAAAGCTCGTCTTTATTCATAATCAGGTGTGACGGTTTTTGAAGGTTGGAGCTGCGGTGTGGATGTGACTCATTGTCCTGTAGGGTGGCAGTTGGTCGTTGATCGTGATTCGTTGTGAACTGATTGTGTTTTCTAGGCCTTATTGTAACTCCTAAATTGGGATTTCCTCTTCTCACTGTCCGTGTGCCTCGTAGGGAAGCTGTTACATGGATTAACGATATGTTTGTATGGTCAGGACTTTTATATTAAGTCAAGGTACATTAAACACTACAGTAAACTTTTTGTTTGAGAGTGCTGGTTATATGATTTCAGGAATAAAGTTTACGGCGATTTAAAACCATGATCTAAATCTTGCGATTCTTCTGCAGACTATTGGTCAGTATTCCAAGGTGAATTTCCTTTACGGATTATTAGTCAACAAATTAAACACAAATTACGGCGCTAGACCATTTTATTCGCTAACTCAACATGTTCTACCACTTGTAACAAGGTTTTCAAAGCACTGATTTCAGAAACCTCTGAGAATGAGTAGGCGTTTCTACTAGTTTAAATGCATGAAATGGTTCTCGGTCTCTTGCAAGTTTATCAAATACGGTAGACAAACTTTTCCTAACTCCCTTGTGGACTTTTTCAAACTGCGTGTAGAAATCTACTTGACATTTCATTAGAAGCATTTAGTTGAAATCGGAAATTTCCTGAAAATAGCTCTATGTGTTCGCCATTATGTTTTGTTGTTACCTCGGAATGTCGTTGAGAAATGTAAAGTAAACTGTATATCTGAATGAAAGTTGTAAAATGTTCTTGATAACTAGTCTTGACTCTAACCCATTAGCATTTTATTTACTTTACGGTTTCGGTCTGGTTGGGCTGACTGTCAGTTTAGTGACTTTTTGCTTTAACCTGGCAAAGTAGAATGATATCCTATTTCCATCTGCGATTTGTGAAGGCTCAATTTTCGACGCCTGTTATTTGACGATTTCCCTTATTTTTAGTAGTTGGACCTACTGTTCGTGGGCTAAGGGAAAGTTATTTCGTTTCAGAATGGGTTTTTGGCTTCAGACCCTTTTGGTTTTGTTATGCATAGTGATTTTGGTTTCATCGGTGCCTACATCAATACAGAAACCTGATCTTGAAGAAACTGATTCGTAAGTTAGTTCTACGATTTTTGCATGTCGTTGGAGTTTTTTGTGTTAGTAAAACCAGTTCACATTTATTATTAAGACACTTTATATGGTTAGTCATATTAGTGTATCTGGTTGGTTATATGTTGACGTTTAAGGAACTGTTTCTAGTGATCAATATGTTTGAAAAGACTACATACAAATTTTGGAGAGATGGTATTGTTGACTGAGGTTCTGTCTGCCCGAGTTATGGACGTGTCTATCAATCTTATCTCACTACCTTGTAGTGTTTCACAGTGAGAATCATGTATCACATTTGTATAGACCATATACCAGGACCTTTCCTCTACTGAATTAGGCCATGACAATTTGAACGAATTCACATTCATATAAAGTCTATCCTTGACTAACTTATATTCCAGTACCAGCCCCCAAATGCTCTGGTACGGCTGTGAGTGGGGAGAGTCACCTCTCCCTCTCGAAATACTCTCATATGGCCAGCGAATATATAGCCTCTGCCAGGGAAGTCCTACTCACTGCCTTCTCGTGGCGGGGGTGTTGTTTACGAAAGTGAGAGGACGAAAAGCGAATGTCCGGCGCTTTAACCGGGTTGGTGGACACGGAGGATCCACCTAGGGGAGTTGGAAAACCCTGATTCAAAACCAATGGTGCACATGGGCTCCAGTATCCTGATGGAACGAATGGCGGACGAACCTGTCATTGGTCAACGGCTACCATGGGACTGCATCTCCTCACGATGCTCCACTGCCTTGTGGAACAGACAGTCAGGTCAAAGGCTACGGGTGTGGCCCCCTAAGAAAACCACCTGCTTCAGTCTGGGCACCTGGGCAGTATCACAGCCCTCACACAAATCGAATGAGATTTGTGAGGCGCATATTTATCTGGTGCTTCATTGTACCAATTTTTATGTGTTTAAATAAATAAATAAATAAAAATCCGGCACATCCAAGGAATACGTTTTGTGTTTTTCTGTACTACTAAAACTTTATACTTATGTGTCATTTTTCACCAGAATTTTTCCGTCGTTAGTTTTTACAACTGCTCATTGTGAAGTATGCTTTACATTTTGATCATTCTCTAGCCTAATAGGTTTTTTGTCAATAAGATGTTTACCCTAAGTGCACTAATGATAGTAGATGGATCATAACTAGTGTCGTAGTTGTTCCAGGTTGACTGTTGGTCCACCATAAAGTGCAGATGTACTTTAATCATACTCTGAAGTGATAATTGATCCATGACTTTGAATCGCCTATTAATAGAAATCAAGGTTGCGTGTGTTCCGTTTGACTTTAGAGTTATGTAAGTTACTTCTTGAGAATAGCAGGAACGTTTTCTTAGGCATTTTATACGGAACTTTTATAGGTCTCTTCGGAAGGGACAAAATACACAATCATCTCTTGTCGTAAACTTCCCCAGCTTATCTGAGTTACTGGGATCTAAATACTTGGTGTAAGTAAATGACACCGATCAACGTCGTTCACTGTTGTGCAGAATTGCATATTTATCTTTTTAGGCACAAATATTGGTACAAAAGGATACGAATATATGTATGGGCCACTCAAATCATTAAATGTGGGTGGGCTGGGATACAGCCCGGATCCCCAAACTGGAGGTGGTCTTAAAGGGCCGCTACTCTCCGAGTTGTTGACCTGTAGCTACAGTCACTGACAGTGACTGTATATCTGTGATCATACGATAGGATTTCGAGAGAGAGTTGTCTCTCCACCCTCGGCCGTACCAAGCCATTTGGGGGCGGTGCGTAGAAATTATGAATATAATCGAGACAGTCTATCGAGTTGATCGTTTTAAAAAAAGGAGCCAAATTCATATCAGTTTTGATTATGTTTGACATTTAATTTATTATACTTTAATCGGTTTAATTTTAACAGTCAACTGATAGAGGATGACGGATCACATCATCGAGGGAGTCAGTTTGGTAACAGGCTTGGATCTGGAAAAAGTAGGTTATTTGTATATAAAAGCTTCAGTTTTTCAGTTGCTTCTTGTTAATTATGTCACATCATCAAGGCAGTCTGGGTTACATAGGATTGAGATCATGAAATCATACAAAAGCCCAGTCAAATGTATACTGGGAAGTGCTATATGATTTGGAATAGTCTGTTTTGCGTTTTAAGCTCCCAATATAATCCTGGTTATTTCTGTGCATACATATGTTGATAATCCACGGGGACAGTTTCTTTTGTTTTGGTAGAACAGTTAGCTGGGATATGGTTAATTTTGGCACATTGATTTTTTAGGTTTCAGAATACTGTCAGTGTTATGCTTAGGACTGATTTCGCTGAAACTCTTTGGTCAGCTATCCATACGAACCAAACATCTGAACAAGTGGCTTCACTGTCAAACTATCATCTTTTATTCTTTGAAGAAGTTACTTACACTGAGTCACTAAACGTCAGAAAATTTAAATTTTCTACTCATTGGGATATTACAAATATATTAATTAATTTATTTATAATCTTAAATACATTTCCAGTCCCATACCACTGGTGCAATACTTCATAGTCAAAACAGAACTAAAATTTGGTTGATATTAAGTCTAAGCATTATCCTTCAAAAAAAACAACACCGAGTGGCATTTCAGTTATTTAAATAGACCATTGAATAACATTTAAGATTTTTAATGCAGTCTGATGATAAGTACCATCGAATTAAAATTAAGTAAAAAAATTTTCTTTAAAAAGCAGCCTTGAAGCAAGACTTTAATTAACAAATTCTTAATTTTTATAGTTGAGAAGTGCGGGAATCAATGTCCTACTTTTTTTTGCCTAAAAGCTGTACTGTTCAGTACTCATATGAAATTTGATAGCAATTAGTTTATCTCACTTATTATAAAATCAGTATCCTAATCCTCAATTTAATCATTTAAATCTTTGTTCTGATCTATTATTTTATAAATATATTTCGTTATAATTTATTAAGAAGCTTAAAAATTCTTTTTCCACAAACCAGTTATGGTTACATTCACGTACTATTTTCCTTACTGTCTAGCATTTATTTATTTATTTCGTTCATGAAGTAAGTTGGTCATTTTCTGTCAAACAAATAGATTTCTTAGTTAATTTTGTGCACCTTCTGACAAAAACAAACCATATACTATTCATTCATTAGAGTTGGTACTTAATGTCATGCTGATGTCTAGTACTTTTTATGCAGTGGTGATTATAAAACGATTTATAATGCTTCTGGCTTTACAGTAATTCTGTCAAGTTGCAGATGCGAACGAAGACTTAATGATTGTGTAAAAGGCTGTGTTATTATTAGTCTGGTACTTCCAACCGCTAAGTTTTCATCGATAAACGGAGTTAAAACTTTTTCTTATAAGTAGTTAAGATCGAACGCTTTGGAGAATTATGAGTATCTTATAGGTTTATTTTATTTAGAGTTGATGTGAGCTAATTTATTTTCCACATTTTGTTTTTTCGTTTTTTGCAATTTATTCCTTTTAAATTTCTATTCGATACACTACTCACTTTTTTTCTCGGTATAAGCTTTGTGTGAGTTTTGCTGTTTGTTTGCCTTTGATGTTGTGATTTCACACTACGCACACTAATATGTGGCTTGTTGGTTAAAACACTTGCAAATAATAAGCTGTCGGTTTGAATCCTACTTCACCTGCTTCGATAATATCACTAACCGGATTCATAACCATCTACTTGGCTAATGAGTTCGATCAAATTATTGCATTTCAACGCTAATGTTAAATTTTATCCTGTTAATTAACTGACAGATGATTCATCCACTGGTGAAAGACGGTCACATAGGCGTCGCAGAAAGCATGTGAGTTTCAAGTAGAATTTGGCTAACATTTTCTTGTATCATTCGTTTCATTATACGTCAATAACGCTTTTCTGTTTAGCTGTTGAGGCGTATATATGGGTTTTTCCAACAACAATTTTTCTCACTCATTGTATAGTTTATATGTACCAAGATTGTTGATGTACTTACTTTTGTGTGATTAATATTGATTATTTGGAAATATCTTGAGCTTTAAAAGACACTAGCTAGTATTTCTAGTCCTTACACTAAAAGATTTAGCTCAAAACCAAGAGCATGAAGAGGTACTCGATGAGTAAGTTACTTCCGTGTTGTGATTGCTGATTCATAAACGGTTAAATTGGCTGTGTTTTGTTATCGAAATTCCTAGGAAATTAGATCTTCCTAACTGTGTGAAGGATTGTTGTATCTTCAAAAAGAACAAATTCTTAAATTGTATTAAAGGCTGTGTGAATGCCCATTTATTGTGGAAGAATGTGCATTATCTAGTCCGATTATTGACTTATTCGCCTATATTTTCTATAGGACTGGTGGTCTTAATCCAATAAAACTACTACCTTCTCTTAGCCAGTGACTCAGTAACTGTATGCGATGACTGGAGAATCTTACTGCTTATTGTCCCGCGAGCTGTCCCCGATAAGTAGACAAATATAGCAAGCAGATACCTTCCAAATTGTACTCTATTCCTTCATTGCTCAAACTCATGAACAAATAAAAGTTGTAATGTACACATAACTCAGTCTTAAATGATACAAAAAACGAAGCAATAGGGAATTACTTAACTGATAATAAATCTGGAATGCTTATTTATTTATTATTTATTTGAACACATAAGTATTAGTACAAGGAAGCACCAGATACATATGTGCCACGCAAGTCACTTGATTTGTGTGAAGGCTGTGGTACTGTCCGGGTGCCCGAACCGAAACAGGTGGTTTTCTTAGGGGGCCACACTCAGAGCCTTCGACCTAAAGGTCTGATCCACAAGGCAATGAAGCATCTTAAGTAGATGCAGTTCCATGGTAGCCGGTGACTAACAATAGGTTCATATGCATTTTCTCCCTCAAAATCCTGGAGCCCATGTACACCATTGGTTTGGAATCAGGGTTTCCCAACTCCTCTAGGTGTACCCTCTGTGTCCACTAACCCTGTTAAAGCGTCGGACATCCGCTTTCCTTTCTCGATTTCGTAGATAACAATAATGTCGCAAGAAGGCAGTGAGTAGGAACTCCCTATAAGTGGTTGTATATTCGTAGCTGTGTGAGAGCATTTCGAGAGGGAGATTGGACTCCCCCCCCACCTCTGACCATACCAGGGCATTCGGGGACTCATCATCCCAAATCTGGAATGACGAAAGATATAACGACGGTTTTTAAATTATACCAAAGTTTTTGTTTAGGGGAATATAATAACATAATAATCAAAGCATATATTAACTATACAGTAAAAATATTAATAATTCTCTGTAGAGTAGTTCCTAAAACTCGACCTTTCTCAAACCCTATTCAATATCATACGGATTACAAATTTTTAAAGTATGGGCTTAATTTTTACATACAGTATTTCAAAACTGTATGTGCTAATGGCGAATGAAAGAAACACTCATTAAAAATATTTGATTCTTATCTTTTGTGTTTTAATCCAATATTCAAAGCATTTCGGGTCAAATTTTTAAAAACCAATTATCGTGATTATTTACCCGCTCTGTTGTCAATTTTTCTATTATGACGCTTTTGCTTTTTGTGTTTTCATTCCTTTGTCTGACGAACATTGCGTCTACTATTTCATAGGTTTCACTACTCGATTGTCGTCACATTTTTCTAAATATATTCGTTTGTAATGGCATAGTTGCATCCATTTTTCGCCTTCCTCCAACTTTTAAGCATCTGAATCTTTCGTAATTTTTTAAATTCCCTTAATTTATATTTTTTGAACCGTATCGTCGATGGCTAATTTTTTCTATTGCCTCTGAAACTATTACTATGTCTGCTACTCTGGGATTCGCCCTAACAGTTTCATCTCGTTGCGCTAATGGGATGTGGAAACTTGAACCGATGTACATACATATCAGGTTCTACGTTGCGACATAATGGCCCTATTTTGTATTTAGAATCTCTTATGCTTTTTCTCCTGTTGACTTTTTTCTGTCTCGCTCTCTGTGCTATTGTGAGTCGCGATAAATTAAACCGACACACATTAGCAGGTCATACTTTCACTAACCAACTAATATTCTCAGTTAATTAATGTTGTTGTTTATCTTATCTATATTCGTAGTTGTTAAAAGTTACTGTTTTCCGTTTTGTTACGAAAAACTACTTTTCTTTAAACATGGCCTAGATTTAAGTCATTACAATATGTTATTCTGGGGGATTCCTAATAATAAGCAAAAATTCGAATGAATTGCAGTTGTCCACATTCTACATTATATACTAAAGACACGTAAATGAAACTGTCTTCATCTTTTGCTGGAATGACTATCATATTTCTTATAAGATTCTTCTCAGTTCACCATCATTTTTCTTCAAAATGTGTCATAATTGTATTTTTTTTGCTATATAAACGACCCAGCTATTCCTATTGCTTAGTATTCTTATACGATGACACTCGACAAGACCCCAAAATCAGAACACGTTGAACAGGAATGAAATTGTATTCAAATAATAATGGTATGTGAACAGCAATCAGCATTCAATAGTTTAAATATCGTTCATATATTTATAGTATATGCATAAGAAGCTTATAGATTTTTCTGCAATAATATGCCCGGGCTGATCGGTTTAAAATTAACCAATCAGCGCGCAGCAACACCATCATGCATAAAACATGCTTAATCCAATCTATATCCCACTAACATCTCCCCCTTGAGCAGATTCGTAGGATCTGGTGTTAGGGTCCAACTGCAACCTCTTTACTGGTTTGCGCTTTCGGTTAGTCCATCTTCTAGGTAATAAGGACGTTGTATCATCCTTCGTTTGCATCTTGACTGTCCTGTCTGTTTCAGGTGTTTTGATCTCAAAGGTGTCTAGCAGAACATCAAGAGGTAATCTATGCTGCGTTTCGTTGTTGGAAATCGAGGTTGATTTCAGTTGGTTAACATGACGCACTCAGATTTCTGAACCAACGGACACCTCGTAAACCACATTTCCTTTCTTTTGTACGATCCGACCAGCTATCCATGTAGGATGTTTTCCTCGATAGTCCATAGCAAGTACCTTTTGACCCACACTGAACAATCGTTTTTGTGCCCCATGATGACTATTGTACTATTTCTCCATCATCACGTTTCTTTGCGGCTTAAGAGCTGGAGTCGAATGAATGTTGTCGAAATGTGTACGTATTTTTCTGCCAAGTAACGCTTCCACTGGGGAGACTCCATTTGTTGTCTGAGGGTTCGGTGTCGAACGGTAGATAAACAAGAACCTCTCTAGGATCTCTTCGGTGTCCCCCTCCCCTCTTGATTTTTTTAGAGCATTTTTGAACGTAGCAACAAAACGTTCTACCTGGCCATTCGATTGCGGATGGAATGGAGGTGTTCGGATGTGCCTGATTCCGTTCTGCTGACAAAATTCTGAAAAGTCTTTACTGACTTCAACTGACGACACTGGAGTGTTTCGAATTGCCGCTGCTGCTACACTCCGTATTTCTGGAATCTTTTTACCTGTCTTTTTGCATATGAGGTGGTGTCTAATGATGGACACGACACGTTACACACGCTGTTGATGGGTATATCCATTAATCCAAGCTTTTCTAACATATCTAGACCAAGTAGATCAAGGTTTGGTCGTTCTGTTAGATAGCATACTCCTTTACAGCTATTTCCGTTGAAGGAAAATTCACATTGTAATTCACCAACTAGCTTCAATACACCTCCAGATACGTTTTTAGCCGTTTTCTTGGATGGCTTCATTGGCGGCTTTCCCAGCAAGTTATAAGTCTCTCTAGACACTAGAGTAATATCGGATGCTGTATCAATTTGGAGACGAACCGCTATACCATTAATCTGAATCGTAACATAATTTCTCCCAATGTCATAGTCTGTTTGAAAGGCTGCTACCAGAGAAAGTGATTTAGATTCGGCTGACTTTATGTGTCGAGGACGTTTGTGCTTCTGCTTAGGCTGGGACGTACGATTTGGAGGACAATGACCTTCTTTATGCCCACGTTTGTTACACATCTGACATTTATGTTTCTTGAATGGGCAGAATCGTACATAATGCCAATCACCACATAACCAACATGCAGTCGTTGGTTTGCTACCACTTGTTTTCGGTTTTTGAACTTTTAACCTAGTAATAGCATTGACACTACTGCAGGTTAAATTAGGATTTACCTGTTCAATCAACTGATTGTCGTGTCTGATGTTCTGTAGCCGCTTACACTCATCTGTCAATGTCCTGAGTGTGACGTTTTGGTCTTGATCCAAACGAGTTAGAAGTCTGGTTCTAATTTCAGCATCTTGTGGTGACTGGAGAGCTTTGATGAATATAAGGCATTTAAATTGATCTTCTGTCAACGAGCGTAACTTGAACCGTTCACACTCTCTGTTGACGACGTCTGCTAGAGCACCATATTCATCGGCCTCACGTTTCACCAAATTCAGACACTGATATCGAATACTAAACAATGAGGAAGATCCACCGAATATTTCTGACAGCTGAGATACTGTCTCCTCGAAACTGAGCTCTCGAGGTAACTTTGATAATATATGATCAGCATAGCGTGCATGTTCATGACTTCCCAACTTGCGCATCAACAGTCGAGTCTTCCATGCGTTGTCTTGATTACAGAACTCTATTCTAAATGTGTCTTCCCAACGCTTGAACCACGTGAGAAATGTATTGCCACATTCGGGGTCATAATAGAATTCTGGGGTGCTGCTGGCAACTGCATCACAAGAAGAATTGCTTGTAGTAGTATGTGAACTCGAGTAGTGTATGTTAAGCTGTTGTGTAAGAGTTTCTAACAGGCGCATTTGTGCGTCAAGTTGTGCTTGCTGTTGTTGAAGTATTCGGCTGAGCTGGTCATCTGATATAGGCATTTTGAATGAATTTTCCTTTTTCCTCGTCGCCACTGTTATATTTGTGTTTTTGCTGCTATATAAACGACCCAGCTATTCCTATTGCTTAGTATTCTTATACGATGACACTCGACAAGACCCCAAAATCAGAACACGTTGAACAGGAATGAAATTGTATTCAAATAATGATGGTATGTGAACAGCAATCAGCATTCAATAGTTTAAATATCGTTCATATATTTATAGTATATGCATAAGAAGCTTATAGATTTTTCTGCAATAATATGCCCGGGCTGATCGGTTTAAAATTAACCAATCAGCGCGCAGCAACACCATCATGCATAAAACATGCTTAATCCAATCTATATCCCACTAACAAAATGGATTTCTCAAAGTTTTAGTTAGATTTCGTAGTATATTTAGTTAACCACATCAAGCGTAACTTAATAACTCATCAGTAATGTTAGTTGAAAATCCTACTGCAACACAAACTGACTAAAGTTAGAAATATGAGCAGTTAAGTTCTGACTCAGTTGTTTCTATAGTATCGTGCTTCCTTTAATATATGTCCCAGGCTCAACGTGATGTAGGTTGTCGATAGCGCCCTCATTGTTAATGATTTCTGTTATATACTAGGGAAGAAGTAAGTGCGGATAACTTACGGGACCTATTATTGGACTATTATTCTATGTATATTCCTATTGTATAACTATTCAGTAACCAGATTATCTATATCTATATTCATGTTATTGTAAGCTTCATTTTGACCTATTGATTATTATTATATGATTCACTGTTCCTATGTTATGCTTAGTTTATTGATTATTGTCTCCCACGCTTACAGCCTCATTTGGCTTGGTTTTGTACAAATATTATTTTTTATTTCATGGTGTGATGTGGTCTGTCTGTTTGATATATAAACAAAGTATGCTTGAAATAAACGATTCATATTGCCTAGGCTGCTATTGATGTTCTGGACTCAAGTGGACGGGCTAGGCGGATTAAGGACCAATAAGGACGATAGATTACTCATCCTAATCGAACGTCATTGTCACAGTGTGAAGGTCGCGGAAGTCGTATTCTATTGATGGGTAGTTTTACGTCCTTGTTTGATTCGTAAGGTCATAACAAATTAGCGACGACGTTGATCAAGACTACAATTGGCGACGTCTAGGTCAATTCATAACAATTTCTATTTCAGCACAAAACAGTTGTTTGGTGTTATCTGGTGTTCATTAGTTTTACAATTGATCCTAATTCATACTAAAAATACTTTTAAAACAATGCAAACTGTTTAATAAAACCACCTTAGGAAGTACTATTTCTATCAATTATCTATTTAAAATTGTTTGTACATAATATTATTTCTACATTTTTATGTTTGCTTGCAGAACCGACAATGTGAACAAACAGGCCACTGTCCTGAAGGTAAATTACCGACTAGTATTTTTTTAAGCTGCATATAACTAAGTTTATTTTATAGACAGATTTCTTTAAACTAAACTTTTTCCAGCTAGATAATCATCAGTTTGCCACCTTATTCACTCAATAATTATGCACTTCATGTATGCAGATGACTACTGAATAAATTCAGTCTTTTTCCAAGAAACGCTTTGTCACTCAAAATACGTCGAAGACTTTTTTTCTACTCTTAACCAAACAGACCTATGCCTTCTGGATACTATTGTAAAGCAGTCTAAGAATTTTCGAGTAAAGGACCAACTCTGTAAAAGTAAAGCAAAGTTCTTATTTATAAAAGCATATCTGTAGGAAACCAATTGGAAATTAACAAATAGACCGACCGTTGCTGCTACCTTGACGTGGTGGTCCGGCCTGTCTATTGTGATGAGTCAATCGAGCTATACTGGCTAGAACAATCGTTCCTCAAGGTCCTACCATTCCAGGCAGGTCGTTTGAAGAGCGGTAAGACTAAAAGCAGCAAACCCAAGGTCCGAAGGCGAAGTCGTACTGCTGACTGTACAGAGGTGTGACAGCAGTAAGGTGTTTCCTTCAGACAACCAGCATAACAGTGATGATGCCTTCCTACAAGGAGGGGTGGGGTTAGAAAAGGTCAATCCTACAAATGTACAGCTCGCCTTATCCCATGGATATCCGTCTCCAGCGGTAAGGTCCCAACAAGTACGGAGCTAACACAAAAATTACCCACAAAAAGACCATGTGTGACCGACTTCAAGAAGTTGTCACTTGGGCATCGCGGTCAGGCTCTCAGGTCAATAAGACCACTTCTAATCCAATTTTCTTTTCAGGTACCTCTAGAAGAACCCTTCTAGGGGCAGCCGGGAAGTGAAAACTACCCTCACACAACTAACAGCACTCAAGATTACTGTATTCCTAATCAATCTCCTTCTCCAATTCCTATTATTCCTCCAACCTCGACTTTCAACACTAAACTTCCTCGTTCGGTTTCCTCCTCAAGTGTCACCATGGCCAACGATGCTAGTGAGCGAAACGCTGTCCCAGGTATACTAAAACCTCACTCCAAACTACACATTGGAGCCTTCAACGACGTACCCAAAGTCAATTCGGTCAACAGGCCTCCTTGGCTAAAACCCTAGAATCTCGTACCATCGATGTATGCTGTGTCTCCGAAACGCGCATACAGGATCCTAGTGTGGTCATTCACTTGACCTCACCTCGCCAAAATGGACAGCCAACGAAATACACCCTCCGTGTATCTGGCGACCCGTTGGCTAGTTCTCGTGGACTTTCAGGTGTAGGCATAGCACTAAGTACAAGGGCAGAACAGGCACTACTAGAATGGATTCCCGTTAACAGTCGCCTGTGTGCTGTCCGGCTAAATGGCTCCGTAAGAACTCGGAAGGATAGGGACACACGTCGTTGCCTTTTCGTCGTCTCTGCCTACGCTCCCACTGACTGCAGCCCAGATGAACTCGAAGATGACTTTGACAGAAAGCTTTCTGAACTTCAAAAAGCTAAACGCTCAGACGTATTACTCGTTGCAGGTGACTTTAATGATAAAGCAGGTAGCTTAAACCAAACAGAAAGACTTTTAGGTGAGTATTTTAGTATTCCAGCTCAGCGAACAGATAATAGTGATCGTCTGTCGCAACTATGCTCAGACAATCGTTTATTTTTAGCAAGCACTAATTTTAAGCATAAGGAGAGACATCGTCTAACATGGCGACCACCTGCACCAAACCAACGATGGACTCAAATAGACCATATTGTCATCAGTCATCGTTGGAGAGGCTCGATAGAAGATTGTCGCTCGTATTGGAATACTTGTTTAGACTCTGATCACTTCTTAATACGAGCGCGCATTTGTCTGCGCCTCAATGGACGCAGGAAAAGTACACTAAGAAGACCCATTAGGATTGAACTGGAGGACGAGAAAGCCAAATGCGAATTCCAGAAACAACTGAGTTCACATCTAGGCAGTTCTGTAAACGAGACTGACCCAGATGTTGCTTAGAAGAATATACAAAGAGCTGTGGAAACAGCAGTAACATCTATTAGTAATTCAAACCAAAGGGTTACAAAAAACCAATGGATTTCTTCCAAGTCTATTGCACTGATGGATTCTCGTAAACATCCCATTAGATTCTGAACACCACGAAGAGTGAAAACAAATCAGATCTACGTTAACCAAAAGTCTAGGGAACGATCGTGAGCAGTGGTGGGCAACTAAAGCAAAAGAGGTGGGAAAGACAGAAGACATAGTACTGTTTGGTAAAGACGCTGGCAAAATGCAGTCTTCTGTTAGCACTGTGTAACAATGCCAAGATGTTTGGAATGAGTTTCTCCCCCTCTAAATGCAAATTAGTGCTTCAGAGCTGACTTGCGTCAACACCTGAACTAAGGATAGGGAGTGAATCAGTCGAACGCGTTGACAACTTCATTTATCTTGGGAGTCTGATCAGTCATAATGGGTTGGTGTCCGACGAAATCTCAGCATGCATTCAAAAAGCTCGTTTGGCTTTTACCAAATTACGTCACCTATGGCGAAGACGAGATATCCGTCTATCAATTAAGGGACGAGTATACTGCGCAGCAGTTCGCTCTGTTCTACATCGCAGCTGCTAAACGTGGTATTAGGAAATGATGGTGAATCAGTTGATGAGACGATGAATCTTCATCGACTGAGATGGTTGGGCCACGTGTTACGTTTGCCGGAACACCGATTACCACAACGCGCAATGCTGACTAGTGTAGGGGATGGTCGGAAAAGAATTAGAGGCGGTCAAACTAAAACGTGGCATCAGTGTTTGAAGTTAATAACTGCTGGTCTGAGCCATGTTGGTAGATGCAGACTATTTGGTTGGGGTTCGCGTGACTATCGTAACCAATGGTTGGAGACTCTGGGTGACGTGGCTTAGAATCGATCACAATGGCGTAGGTGTATACACTCTTTATCTTCCCGTGAACCTTGAGATTAAAATTGCTTTCTTCCTGTACCATATCCTTATATACAACCTTTCTTTTATATATTACCACCACTAAATTAACTACTATGAATTCGGTGTTCATCTTGTTGTGCTAATGAGTTATGGCAACTTGGACCGATGCATATATGTACCTGGTCCTACTTTGTAGCTGACTGACTGAAAACAAATAGACAGCTCCGATGGAAATTGGTGGACCAGATAATTAAGATAATCACTACTTACGACTTTTGACTCTGCTAAGAATGTTATTATAAATCTACTTCAGCAGGTTCACACACTTCGTTAGGCGTATCAGTGTTCTCACTATAGATGGGGCAAAACCACAGTCTAACGTCGGAAACCTGTCGAAGGACCCATGTTACATCACTTTAGGAATCTTGACTTTCCTCTGTGCACTGCTTCTAAGTGCTGGGTGGTGATATACTCCAAGTGACGAAACACTATTCAGTACCATTTCTATCCTTTCCCGAAACTGGGAAGTTTAGCACTTAAGACTAGTGATACGAAATCACTTCCAAAAGCTCCAAACCTTTACCTAGTTTCGCAGTTTGTCTGGCTGATAATATAACGTCTAAATAATTCTTGTTTTTCTCTCCCTACCGAAATCAATCATAGCCTAGTCAATTTCGCCAATATCCAAAAGCTCTAGTTTCATTTTCTATTTTGGGCAACTAGAAATAAGTGAAAGCCAATTCAACAGTTTTTGCTTCAACTATTCTTTTTATTCCAGCCTGATGAGCTGAGAATCGGTCACATTTCTACCTCCTCCCCGAACAGTATTGGATAAATTTTTTACTCGGATCTCCTTGATAAAATTAGGATCGATTTCTAGTATTACATGTCACTGCTGCCATTTATTATCTTCATTTCTTTCTCCATGACCATTGGAAAAGCGTTCTGTTTGTTTACATTTAATTTGGTCCCGAATCGACAAACGGGCAAAGTCTTCACTCTTTTTTTAATTCCATTAAAATTAAGCATCCGATAAAAGTTTTAAACCACATATTCAGTCTATTTATTAATTTACACATATGGTTCCCTTATACTATTTGCACACAGATCAATAATACTATAAGGAATCATAGTTATGTAGTTCCACATAATTTTAATTTTATATAAAAAATATATAGAATTAATTTTAAGATATTTTTTTATTCAGTATGATCATGAAAGTAACATGTTATATCTTGTGGCCGAGTGGATGTCTTGCTAACGTATGAAGTGATAAGACCATCAATCAGAGAGCAGCGAATTATCGATTGGAACAGTGACACACGAAACCGTACGAGCAGTCTAGTGTGCTAATCGTTCCTGCTTTCTGCCTAGTCCAGCCAGTTAAGTCCAGAACACCGATAACAGCCTCTGTGGTATGAATCATTGTATTTCAAACATACTGAGTTTATATACCAAACAGACCACATCGTACCAATAAAATAGGATACAACATTTGTACAAGATTCAGCCAATTGTGTCTGTGAATATGGGAGGCAGCAATTAATAGACTAGGGATAACTCAAGAATGGTAAATCGTACAATAATAGTCTACAAGTCAAAATAAAGCTTATAATAAGGGGAACATGAGTATGAATAGTTTAGTTATTTAGCAATTATACGATAACAAAATATATGCATTATATTGGTCCATAAATGGATCTCAAAGTTACCATTCACTATTGTTATCGGGATATAACAACACAATTAGGATTTATTTAATAGTATCATTTGGGTTTTCTTGAGTTTTCGTGTTGCTAAGAAATTTTTGTTCGATCGAACTCTATGTTTCACATATTACACAAAATCCCCCTAATCGTCAAAATTTCCTTTCTATCTCAATTTCCTCGTTGACATTAAAATGTAAATACATGAATTTATGAAATAAACAGCATTCACAGTTCGACCTGCAAAAATCTTTCACAAAAGATAATCACGATATAACAGTATAGAAAACATATTTCGAGTGTTTTATAAGAAAAAAGTAGTTCCAACGTGTTAATCAAATCAGATAAATAATAATGAAATGGATTTTCTACAGAGAAATGCCAATTGAATTTGTATAAAGTATTATACAAAGAAGTAGTGTGGTGTGGTCTACTTATATCCATATAAGTAGTATATGGTGAGGGTCAGACATATAATGTATTTTGGCAGAAGAGCGATGAGGAAAGAACTGAAATGAGACGCAGTTGGTAGGAAAATACACAAACAATTAAATTAGAAAAGATGGAATGATATTTACAGAAGGAACAGTGAACATTGAGACTATTGGTTATTTCGCAAATTATAGATCAGAAGGGGTTTTGTGGAGAATTTAGTATTTTCATAGTTGAAATCATGCTTCATTTGAAGCTAGACCACCATGGAAAACCTGGAAGCACTGGACGGCCGTTTCGT